CCACTTATAGGATTTTCGTAGTTTATTTGGTCCAATTCTGTGATTTTTCCGTTTTTTTCTCTTTAGTTCGTTTTATGCGTCTTTTTGTTGTGTTTTGCTTCGTGTTTTCTTCGTGTTTGTGTTTTCATGAGGTAGGTTGTGTTGATCGAGGACGGGACTACTTGAGGTGAGACCGAGATATCAAGAAGACCCATTAACGTGCTCAGAATACTGAAGAAAGGACCGAAAAAAAATGGACCGAAAAGCTGCCCAGAACTTCTCGCGACTCGCGAGTCAGTGTCGCGACTCGCGAGAATGTCACGACTCGCGAGTCCAACAAAGACGAAAAGCTGAATTTCGCGACTCGCGAGTCAGGTCGCGAGTTTCCCTAGAATTTAAATATTTTCGAAGACGCGCGACTCGCGAGAGGTCGCGACTCGCGACTCGGCAAAAGTGTAAGTCGCGACTCGCGAGATAACCGATGCGAATTTCGAGGTCGGGATTTTAACATCAGAATTTCGACCTAGACATCATTATTCACATTCCAGACTTCATTTTTACACTTTTTCTCTCTAGAAACTCATTCCTTTTGATGTTTTTACTCTTTTGATTGGATTTTGGAGATCAAAACTCTACTTTCCTTGCTTTGGATTGGATGTTTTTGGATTCAACATTGAACTATCATTATTAATCGTAAGTTTTCTTTTCTCAATTGTGTGATTGATGATGATGGCTTGGATTTTTATGAGTTTTGATGTTGAATTCCATATGAGTAGCTAAATCCATATGCTAGGGATAGGGGATGATTGATTAGGTTCGATTATAATTGCTTGTTCTTAATTGTTCATATCTATTCAAGTTGTTCTTATTCTAGGGTTAGTAGATTGATCACCTTTCTAACCTAATTAATCAACGTGTAGAACCGAGAGGGGAGACGTTGGTCGATATAGGCTTGTTTAGAGTAGACTTGTTCGTAATAGTATTGTCTATGAGTTGTTGGAATTGATAGTTGATCGTGTACGTTCACTCTCTTGTTACAAAGAGTTATTGAGAGAGAGCCTCTGGACGAGAAACGATTCAAGTCCTAAACCTTCCCCGGCAACGACGCCAATTTTGTTGTAAGTATTTTTACTGGAGTAGAATCGAAAGATTAGTTCCCCGGGTCGTATCGCAAGGAAGGTTAGCCGAATTCAATCGTACGTTTATTTAATCATGATAAATAGAAAGAAAAATCCTAAACACTCTATTTCAATGGTTTTGGTTTTAATTATAACTAGTGACTTGAAAACAAATGAAAAGCAATTTAAATAGCAAACAAATTTACTCAAATGATTAAAGAGCTAGGGAATCGGGGATAATTGCTTTCGGTTCTAACACAACTACCGGCAATCAATTGCT